GATGTTGCACAACTCCTGTCGTCCGTCGCACAGCAGAGGACACACACACACACACAGAGAGAGAGGGGAAGGGGCAGTTGGTGTGGCTGTGCAGGAAAGGTGCACGCCAGAAGCTGAGCTGTGTGAGGATATTGTGTTCATAGTTTGCCTGTGTTGTGTGTGGAAGGACACCGGATGGGCGTGTGTGTGGAGGACGGCAGGTGGAACCGAGGTGTTTCCCATGTCGGTGCACCTAGGGGAGTTCTAAGTAGAACACCCATGGTCTCCTTCCAAAGCGCATTCGCATCTTCATCAATGTCAAAGAAACGCTTTGCTTTGGCTTTGAGCAGCGTCGCCTGGTCGCTGAGAATGGGCAGCATCTTCCTGAAGACAGGCAGACACAAACAGAGAGAGATCTCAGCTGGGGAGCCTTCTGGCTGCTTCTCGCTTCGTGTGAGGACTTCCTATGTCTGGGCCTCTCGGCTGCCTCTAGGGTTTGGGGAGCGGCAAACCCTACACCCTAAACCCTAATGCTTTCGCTTTTGAGGCTTTTTTCCATTGCAGGGGGGCGGAGTGGCGGCTGACGTGCTCATCTAAACCCTAGCTGTGCGTAGGGTTGGCGAAATTGGTGAATGCGGTTGGTGTGCAGCAGTGCGTGGCAGACAGACAGACACACACACAGGCTCATGTCCACAGGGGTCCACGCGCAGAGAGGGAGGGGGGGAAGGCCTGTGTGTGCAGCGTGGGCAGTGTGTGTGTGTGTGTGTGTCTGTGCCATCATCGCTGCACACGCGCACCCTCACACACACACACGCACAAAGGAAGGGGAAAAATCACAGAGCAGAAATATAGCGGAGAGTGTCCGTCCAAACGAATTGCGAACAGCCAGCCGGTGAGCTAAGAAAAGGGCCTCTAAAGGCCTCTAAACGTCTCTCTCTCTCTCTCTCTCTCTCTCGGTCTCTCCGTGTGTGTGTCTAAACCGACAACCAGTAGAAACTTTCCTGCCACCTGTGTGTGTGTGTTTGGGGGGGGAAGGTACGATCGATCGAGGAGCCCCGAGGACCGAGTCGTCAACTTAAAACGTCAGTCGCATCGTTGCGTCCGCGTGCACTGCACATGGTACCCTCATGGTAGTAAGTGATATGGGTAAGTAGTGAGTGTCTAAACCCGCCCCCTCCCTCACTCCGTCGATCCGATGCATCACAGAAGTACTGAAAAAGATCGATGCG